CTAACCCTAAATTAGGGTGTTACAATCCTCGTGACTTGGAATAAGGGAATCCCTATGGATAAGTTCTAAAAATAACACTGAAGCTTTAAATATCGTAACACTTATATGGGTTTTAGGGTACAACCTATATATGTTGACCATCATTGCAATATTAGAAAGCAATACTACTTGAATACATATTTGTCTCTTTGAGGTACGTTCAATGATGGCTATGGAGGTGAGCTGTTCAGGTAGATATTGCAGTCGATAGTAAGAGGTAAATATCTATGAAATATTTCTAATTAAATAATCAGTAAATACCACGTTATTGAATTTTGATTTGTTAAATGAGACTTAAAATCCTCATAAATCATTAGAAATCTAGAATATTGCAAATCATCATTTTATCCTTATTATACCAAATTACCAAGTTTTCTCCTAGTGGCAAAATGATAAAAATGTCCCTGATAGCATAAATAATAGAATCACTCTGGTTATACTCAATCTTAATTAATTCTAATGTAAAAATTCTTGATTACCTTCCTGGTGTATTTGAATCCTAAACGTTCTTGAAACAAAAATTCCTAAAAGTCTGATTATATCACTTTGCAATCGACCTCTTCTAATAGGGATATCGTTTCTGAAATACAAGCAACTTGCAAAAGGTCGTGTTTCCCTTCCTGATAATTGCTACGTGCCTATAAAAATATCTAGATTCTCTAGTGTCTTGAAAATAGATATTTTATTTGATTTAAAAAAATGACTTTGATATCTAAAATACAAATTCGATATCTAATCTTTGTTTTCTTATATATAATATATCTGGCTCCTGATTTCTGACATTTTTGGTTCCTGTTTAATCTACTTTATATTGGGGTATTATCTGGGATCTACATTGTAGTCTTCGTATGTTCGACTCAAATTAAGCTGGTGATTCTTTATCGAGCTAAGGCGACCCTTAGGTGGGCTCTTAGCCCCAAAGGGCCTAGTAATAAGACCTTATGGACCCTAAGACACTCCCTTAGAGTGGTTTCTTTACTTTGTGCATTGGGTAAGTCCTTATGGACCTGAGGGCACTCCCCTCAGGTGGCTCCTACGCTTCGGCTAAGGTAAGTCCTTATGGAACCAAAGTGTTCCCGTAGGTTGGCTCCTATGCCCAATGGGCCTAAGGTAAGTCCTTATGGATGCGGTTCTGGGGAACCACATATCGGTGTTCGGGTGGAGGGTATTACTATTATTTTCAAAATATGTTTTGCTAAAATAGACTACTACTGTTTTTAAACTATTTGTACACTTACTTCTGGTTTTGTTGGAACACACTAGATTCCCCCAACATTATCTTCTGAATTCGTCTCTCTGAATGTTGCCTCCGGACTGTAGGTTTCCCATTTGTTACCTGAAGAATTAATTGATTAAATCTCAGCTCATCACAAAATCATGTAAATGTCTCGATTACTAAGGAAACTTCGTTCTTTACCATATATTTGTTTGACCTTTTAGTATCATATGGTAGTTTTGTATTACTGAGTTTTTCCAAAGCTTAATCTGTTACTTACCTTTTCAAGTTAAAAGAATTGATCCTGTGCGGTATCGACATCAGTAATGAGAGTTCATTAGGTGTTTCTTGCGAGTACGGTATCTGTATAATTAGGGGCATGTAGGTCATATTTTTTTTATACTGAGTCTGAAACTTGCATGATACGATTTATGATTGAATTTTTTTTTGATATATGAAACCTTTTTCTGAACTTTTGTTTATTTATAAATTGATTTGAACCTGTGTTTATTTATAAATTGATTTGCAATTTTTAAATGGTTTATCAAAAAATTTATTATTCCCATATTTTTATTGTGAATTGCTCTGGTGACCCTAACATAACAAATTGGATCGGATCGGGTCACTCATATCGATATGAGTGTGTTACATCTATTTTCTAAAAAAATAGATATACAATTTTTTTTTATTTTTTTATTCCCCTTAATTTTTTAAACTGAATTTAATATTTTTTAAAAAAATAATGGATATTCAATTTAATCCCTTGAAGACCATATATATCCGCACTGTTAGGTAATAAGTTTCTAGTTGTAATACGAAGCCCTTGAACACAGAGACACCCTCATATGTCTGACTAAAAAGGAGCAAGGTTTTTTACATTTAACATTCCATGTACATTTTTTATCATGATAACTTAATTGTTAAGTATCAAGTTTCAAGTATACCATGTGAGAGAAATAAATGAAGAATTTAAATCTGATATGAACTGAACAACATTATATTATAGCAATAGTGATAAACATAGCAATAGTGATCTGATAAATGAAGAATTAAATTATTAAAAATCAATTTAAAGACTACATGAGTGTAAAAAGTTTAGGGACCATATTCATTTTTTTTCAAAAATTTGAGAGTTTTAGATACTATTAAATCAAAAAATTATTGTTAAAAGGATTTGAACACGTGTGAGTTAAGTTAAATTCAGATAATACGTTTTCATATTTTTTAAATTTTCAAAATAATTTAATGAAAATACTGAAAACATTTGTTTATATTTTCATGTTTTCATTTAATTTTTTTTTATTTTTCAGAAATCATTTTCAATTTTTACAATCAAACATATTTTCTTCAATGTTTTCTGTTTTCTAAGAAAATGAAAATAAAAATAGTTTAATTTTCTAGAATCAAACATACGTATAAATTTTCCAAATCATAATCATCTATATCACATTATCATTCACGTTGATTATCCGATCAATAAATATTTGATCAGATCTATTTAATAAAAAAAATTAGCTACCCTATTCCTATATGTAATGGGGTAAAGAGAAGGTAGTGTAGTAGGCTGCCCAACGCTAGGTTGAGAGCAGCTTCGTGGAAGACCTCCGTTATGAATTGCCCTCAGTGGACTCGATCCCACGACCACAAGGTTAAGAGATTTGTGCTCTACCAACTGAGCTATACGGGCAAGACTCATATCTATTTAATACAATTTATTAATTTAAAATTTTATTTGAATGAAAAAAAAACTTAATTGATTTTTTCGAAAAAAAATAGAAACTATTTATACTCTTAAGCTGGCTTTTTTAGGACCTCTTTGATTCCATATTTGTTTGTATATTTTTCATTTTTCTTGGAATGATATCATCACTATTTAACAAGAGAAAAACGTTATCACGTTGAATATTAAATAAACATTCATGCATAATTATGAAGTTTACCCTTCTTCAAAGATAATAAAGCAATTATTTATTTAACACATATTACATCTGTTAATATTTATATAATATGCTCATAATTGCTAAAAAGCCCAATTTCTTTAAAAAGAAAACTATCTAAACAAATTACTCATTATTATTCATATATCTATTTTTAATTAAGAAAAGGCTATCCATTAAATTTTAATATTTTCTAAAAGATTATCTATATTTAAAATATATATATGATTTTCTAAAAAATGATTTTTTTTCTTTTCGATTACATAACTATTAAAATATATAAAAAATAGAAATTTATAATATTTTAGATATGAATATAATATATTAAAAACTTGAAAATATATGGATTAAGGTGAAGATGGAAAGAGTGTATTTCCTTTTTAAATAAATATATTTTGATGACGCAATGAATGATGATGGCTTTCGCCACCTAAATTTTAAATTTTGTAATTCTTTCAAGATGGGTAAAATCTCTATCTTCCTAACAAATTTTTTAACCACAATTATATATAAGATAACTATACATTTAGTATCTCAACTATCATTTTTATTTATCTTAGTCATTTAACTACTCTTTTCTCAAAAATCAAACAATTAGTTTTAGTTTCCTTTTAGTCATCTGTTGTTAAAAAATAACAGTGATGTTAGCGTATCACCATAAGATAATATTACATCATTATTAAAAAATAAAAAAAATATAACGTCAATGGTTCTGTTAATTTTTACAGAAGATGACCAAAATAAAACCAAAGTATAATGTTTGGTATGCTTTTGAAGAAATTAATTAAGTGACCGAAACGAAATAAAAGTAATAGTTAAAATATTAAACATTAATTTACCCTTATATATAATGATTGGTCTTACTCTGTCAGTAAACCTAGCGCACCGACTTTTGTATATTTTAATAATTTAAAATGGTTGTCCCTTGTTCCATATGTAATGGGGATAAGGGGAGGTAAGATAGTAGGCTGCCCCCAACATTAGGTTGAGAACAGCTTCCGTAGGAGACCTCCAAATTATAAATGCCCTCCATGGGACTCGATCCCACGACCTCAAGGTTAAGAACCTTGTGCTCTACCAACTGAGCTGGATGGTCATTTCCATATATTTTAATAATTAGCTTTCAAATTCAAAAACTAAATATAATTTCCATCATTTAATTTGTTTTACTTATAATATTTCTTATAATCAATTTAATCCGGTTAATAGATGTAATTTCTCATAAAATCAATTAATAGAATATTGCTTATAATCAATTTAATTCTTTTATATATTTAAGTTGATTATAAAATAATATTTGTAAAATTTTTATAAACTTCAATATTGTATATATACATTACAAACACATTATTAAAACTCAAAATTTGCGTAAAATAATACGGTTTTAATATTAAGACCGATTGTTAGATTCTTAAACTGGTTATTTTTTTTTTATAAAACAAATATATATATATATATATATATATATATATATATATATTATTTTGAATTTTGAAAAACATACATGCCGTACCAAAGTGGACAAATTATAACGGCGATAGGACAAAAGACGCGGATGATACCCGTAAACTACGCCGTTTTGCTGCTCTCTTTTTGTTTAATGTTACTTAACCTCGACACTTTCCTTCACTATTTTGAAGTCTCTATACGTTCTCATTGCTTTCAATTTAATTTTCGATTTCTTTCTATCGACAAATGAATTCTTTTTATTTTCGTTTTCACATTAACAATACTATTGATCTTATTCTTCTCTTCTTCTTGTATAAATTTCAGGTGATTTCATTCATATTTTGTTGTGATTTTAGTTTTTCTATTATTATTTTTTGTGCTCTATTATTTGTTCAATTATTCTTAGATTGGATCTACTCTTTGCAATTCGAGTTCCCAAAATTCGCAAGTAAAAATTTATTGAATTGCTCTCATAACCATTTTTTAAACAATTAAATATTATTTTAAAAAACATTATGACTTTAATTTGAAAATTTATTGCTTTTTGGATTAATTCGAATAAATTGAAAAGGAGTCGTCCATAGAGCTTGAGTTAGGTAGGTCGAATACCTAAAACGTCTTTAAAGACAATTTTAAGAAAAAAATCATTTTTAGACAAAAAAAACTGGTCTGCGATTACAAAGATTTGATGTAACGGGTCCAGGAGTCTATTACGTATGGGAATGATAACACCCTACAGCTCCTAAAATTGTTTTGTGTCACTTACACTGTCGTAAATGGTGGAATTATGAATTGAATATAAAGTTAAATTATGATTCATTTATTAAAGTTTGATTAACTTACTTGAATTAATTATTTAAAAGAAAATCCTTTTACTCGATACGAAATCTTCAAATTTGCAATCCTCCGTCGGGAAAGCAATCTCAATCATTTCTCATTCGTAAAAGAATATTTTATCTTCAAATATATAAAAGATGAATATCAAAATAAAAATGAATATTGACATTTGCAAAAAAATAAAATAAATTAATAAAAACGCATTGAATCATTCACATAAAAATATTTAATTAATAAAATAAAATAGATTTATTTCAAGTGTCATTTCGGTCGAATGTCGTATCAGATTGTACCATTTCGATCAAGTGATACTTTCAAGTCCGTTCAACAAATACGTGTTCTTGAAGATATTTGGACAATATTAATCGATAGATAATGAATAAACACCGAAAACAAATACAATTTTAAATCTACGAAATAAAAAATTCGCAATACACATAGCTAATAACGTCTATTTAAAATAATAAATATATAGTCGTAATATACAAAATACATATACATGTAGGATTAGAACAAATAAAAAACTTAGAAATCAAAATAAAACTAATAAAACAAAAATAATCATATTCGATTTAAAGAACCAAAATAGCAAAAACAAAAACTTAAAGGACTAAAATAGCAAAAATATAAATTTAAAGGACTAAAATAGAAAATAGAAATTTAGAGGGATGAACCACAAATATAAATAAAATAGATTCCCAACATTGAAAATATTAAATAGTACAAGTACTAGAAGTGAAAATAACCCATAAATATATAAAAAGATTTAAATGAAATAAAAAGAAACATAAAGGACCAAACAATAATTAAACCAAATGCCAAACAATGACTAAAATAAAATATTTACAAATTTCATGGCCGAATTCGAACCAAGGAAAATATCATAACACAATAAATCAATGACTAAAATGAAATAACTACAAATATAGTGACCAAAATCAAATATTTACAGGAATTACGTAACATATAATAACAAGACTAAAACATAAATACAAAACATAAATTAAATAAAATAAGGTAAATTTTAATAACTGACTAAAAATGAAATAAAAAATGTAGGAGGACCCAAAGTGGGATTTACCCACGCACAAAAATGCCACACTGACCCTCCAAACGGCGTCGTTTCACTAATGGTATACAAGGCCAACACAAAGCCAAAAAATACCCAAGCCCCTCATTTGAAATGAAGAAGAGAGAGAGTTCTTAAAACTCTCAACTCTCTCATAGGAAGAGAGAAAGGTCCCGCCGCCGGTGGCTCACGACGGCCCACGGCGGCCGGAGAAAACATAAGCCCCCAAAATACTCCCCCTACTCCCAACAACCCAAATCAAGCCCTATTAGCCTAAAAATAACCTAGCCTCACAGATCTAGTGTTTTACCTTTCGAAGATTCGAAAACCGATGACCCTTGGGCTCCCAAGGCTTCGAACTGAGGTGAATCTCTCATCTTTGCTATTTGCCTCCTTTTTGGTGTTTGGGATTTCTCTCTTTTTCGGTTTTTCTTTGTTTCAAATATATGTCTTTCTATCTATTTTTTCACCGAATGCCTCTGTTTTTCTCTCTCTATCTTTGCTTGTTTTATGGTCTCCTCTACGTTGTTTGGTGAGATGATGATATTCTAGGGGTAGGGTTATGGGACTTACTGACATGGTAGGTAATCCTCGATTTTTTGAGATTATATGTTATTTTAAAATAGGGTTTTTATTTGGTTGATTGGCTGAGATTTATTTTTTCACTATGTGGCCTCTATTGATGACGTCGACAACTCAAGAGTGCTCGGCGGTAGCTCACGTGCGCGAGCAGATGGGCGGTGAAGCTCATGCATCGGTGGGATCTGAGGAGTCTAGCGGCGGCGGTTGTTGAGCTTTAAGGTTTTAAAACCCTATTTTAAACGAGTGGGTCATCTATTTGGCTTGGTATTGGGTTGAAACGGGTCGGGTCATCTGTAATTGAGTCTGGTGCTTGGGTAGTTGGTTGTAGTTTGGGGCTGGGTCACTTGTCTTGTAGTTGGGCTTGAGCTTCAGGCCTACAAAATGTTAATTTGTAAATTAAAATAATAATAATAATTAATATTTTTTTAGACCCGGACAAAAACGGGTGTCTATAGCTACCCCTCTTTACACATTATTGTGTTAACAAGAATAGGGCAAAGACGAAATAGACAACAAGTTTTGTTCGATCATCTTTGTTTTGGAATTTGATATGTTTGTTATTAAGGACGACACTCTCATACGCGATGAAGTTCTGGTTGTTTAAGGGTGACATGGCTCCTACATGATGAGGAGATATGGTCGATGGATGACACTGTTCCTACGCGACGAGGACGATTGTCCATCTTTAGGAAGGGTGATAACACGGTTCCTACGAGATGAGGATGACTGGTTATCTAGGGGTGACACGGCTCCTACTTGATGAGGAGGTATGGTTGGTGGATGACACGGTTCCTCCGTGATGAGGATGGCAAGCCATCTTTAGGGATATAATATGGTTCCTACGTGATGAGGATGACTGATTATCTAGGGTTGACACGACTCCTACGTGATGAGGAGGTATGGTCGGGTGATGACACAATTCCTACGTGATGAGGATGGTTGGCCATCTTTAGGGATTTGTTTCAAGAGAAACTATCTCAAGGGAGACAAAACTTTGTTTCAAGTGAAACAGACCCAAAGATTTGTGTTTCAAGAGAAACGGTCTCAAGGGAGACAAAATTCGTTTTAAGGGAAACGATCTCAAAGATTTTACAAGAGAAACAATTTCAAAGTTTGTCTTAAAGAAGATTGTCTCATGTAAGACAAAGTTTATTTTGAGAAAAACATTATCAAGTGAGATCAAATTTGTTTCAAGTGAAACAAACTCGAAATTTGTTTCTCAAAGGAAAATTGTCTCAAGCGAGACAAAATTTGTTTTTAAGAAAACTTGTCTCAAACGAGACGACCCTTTGTTTCGAGAGAAACAATCTCAAATGCGATAGATAGTCTGCTTGTTCCTACGTATGGAGGAAAGGCATTTAGAAGATCTAATCATTCACTTCAAGATGTTGAATCTCCAAAGATGCCCCAACATTCATCATTTCTTGCTTCAGCACTGATTCTAAGCATGAGCTTTGTGTCTGAAAGCCACATGTCAACTACCAAGATCCAGTCCAAAGAGGTTGTCTTGTCTGAAAAACATTTTTCTTCTTCTTTTATTTTCAAAAGTCTGAAAATATCAATTAGAAAAGTTTTGAAAAATGTTTAATCAAATTTTGAGAAAATATTGCCCTTTCTAGGTTTCACAATTGAGACAAATCATAAAATAAGAGTTCATTAGATATCGAAGAATTAATTACACTTTTAATCCTTTAATAAATTATATCTATTTGACAAGTGTCAATATCAATGCTATCATTGAGGTATCGTTAAGTAGGGAGAGGATAAAAGTCTAAGTTATTGTCCATGGTTTAAATCTGACATTCTCATTATCTTTGATGTTCACTGATATGATGGGGTAGCTTGTATGCTCCTCTGGAAGGGTTCTCCGACTCCCAGCTCTCATGATCACACTCGAGTTGTGCGATGCCTTATCAAGTGATATTGCTTTCTATACAACAACTACACAATCTTTATATTTGAGCCGCCTTTTCAGACATTCAACTGGAATCCTCTTTGGTTTCAAGATGTTATTCAGAATTTTACGTCTTGAACCCTTTTTTTTATTTTTCTCTATAATGCATTAAATATTTTAGAAAACCATTTGTAAATAAAAGATTAATCCTGATGGGAGGGATGAAATCTGAAGATGGTCTCTTCTATTTAGAAATCCATGTATGATTAGAAGAGACTTTTTAGGCACGTAATGTAGGTTGTGGTTCATGGTTATAAAAAAATGGATAAAAGGCTCAAATAAATGTTTAAGGGTTATTGAACCAAGGATCAATTCATTCTGATGCCTTCAATACTGTCTTGCTCGATTTGAATCTTCTCGCATGTGTCCTTTTATCTTCTCTTGATGTTCTATGATCTTCTAGTGAAGTGATTATGGAATGATTATGCTTGATCAATCTCATAATTTGAAGCTTGATGCGCCATTTGACTCAAGAGACTCTTTGAATGTGTTTTTGTCCTTTTTTTTCTTTGCTTCTTTTTTTCTTTTTTTTTTCTTTGTTTTTTTCTCTTTGCTTTGATTTGATCTTCGCACTTTGCATTCGGTTCACCTTTCGGTATCTCATATGGATTGATGTCACTCATGCGATCATATTTCCTTCACCTTACCCCCCAGTGTGGAGGGGTCCTTGGTTAGGGTTGAATCAGAAGAAACATAATTTAGCTCAAAGGGGACAGAAGGGATATATTTTCTCCTTTTGTGAAGGGATAATAAAAGAAAGTCATTCATCATTTTATATACAGAAGACTTTGTAGAAGAGGTATCCCCAGGGGGATAGATTTTCAAGATTAATATTATTTACATGAAAACAATGTCATTAATGCATGATAAAATTATTTCGAATTAATTTCCTTTTTTTCAGCTTGCTTTCAGCATGTCTGTTCAGGCTCCTTTTCAGGAAGTTGATGATGCGAGATGCCCCACGTTGTGTCTTTGTAGGAAGTTTTACGTTCAAGTGAACATCTTGTACTTAATTTCTTTAGGTTTTATTGGTAGAAAAATGTCGGTTTTGCGTCTAAGAAGATGATGGTGACTTTATTGGCTTAACAAAAGGTATGAGTTTGACTTTTTGTTTTTAAAAAAGATAAAGGCAATATTTCAAGGTCTCAAAGAGAGGTAATGCCAAAATTTGGTCTTTTGGTAGTGACCATGAATTATTTCGAGTAAAGAATCGAGAGATTTTATTTTGGTTTTGGATGGCATAAGAAAGGTTCAATATTGTCATATGTCAAAAATCCATAATTGTTGAAGAATTAAGAGAATTCGTAATTCATTTGATATTTGAAGAACAAAAGATTAAAACTCGTTTAATTATTCAACCTTAGAAGGTAGCATAAATTCAATCATTCCAATCTCAAATGATGCACAATCTTCAAGCATGTCTCTTTCTTCTACTCTCTCAACTTCTTTTAGCCCTCAATGTATGTTTGTATATGAGACTACTTGATTGAGAACTTTTACCTCTTCTTGTGAAAATTTTCTCTTCAATATCCCCTTGCGGATCAACATTTTCATTATGTTATGACGATGTAATGCAATGCAAAGAAGGATGAAAATGATACAAACAAAAGAAAGAAAGAAATAGTTACAAGTAAAATAATTATACAAATAAAAATGTTATTCAGTGATGAATAGCCAGACATGATTTCTACCTACAATGATTAATTTCAAGAAAAATCCTAACCGCATAGATCTAGTTCGCATGGTTTATTCACGAATAACAAATATATTCTATAAACTTAAAACAAAAGGTAAAGGTTTAGAAACACTCCTCCTCTGTGTACACTTATTTGGGTACCTACTGGCGGACAGAGGTTCGATAGCTATACCTAGGGTGACTGTTCTACGGTTCACTATATGCATGGTTTCGGCTCTATGAGGAAAGGGTACTTGAATTGTCCTTGATGTTGGTGCCCCATTGGGCTGCTAAACCTCAATCCTCACCCATTACAAGTTTCGAACGGAACAAGTTCAATTCGAGGGGATTCACTGTCTTATACCCATATTAGGAATAAATCCCTACGAATGTATAAGGTATATCCCATGGGTTATTTGCTAAAACTCATATGAAGAATAAATTCTTACGAGAGTAAAGTATTCACCCCGACTTTGGATCAAAGCTCGGGTCTAGAGCTTATGTCATGCAAATGCATGTGCTGTGTGAGAGGAGGAACATTCAAACCTTTGACTCAAAAGGAAAATGAAACAAGGAAAAAACTTGATTAAACCTTGACAAAGATGAAAAATAAATTAAAACATTAGTACGATAAAAATAAAGAAATTAAAATTTTAATAAATGGATCATAAGCTAACTATATACTCGAACTCATAATTTTCACCACTACGATGTGTAAGCGACCTATAACCTGACTCTCTAAAAAAATCCCAATAGAGTCGCCAAGCTGTCATAACCATTTCTTAAATAATTAAATCTTATTTAAAAAAACATTATGACTTTAATTTAAAAATTTGTTGATTTTGGATTAATTAGAATTAAATTGAAAAGGAGTCGCCATTGACCTTGATTTGTTGATTTTGGATTAATTAGAATTAAATTGAAAAGGAGTCGCCATCGACCTTTGGGTTAGGTAGGTTGAATACCTAAAAACGTCATTTAAAACAATTTTAAGAAAAAAATCAATTTTTAGACAAAAAAGTTGGTCTACAATTACATAGATTCGATGTAACGGGCCCGAGAGTCGGTTACATGTGGGAAAGCATAATCACCCTCACAACGCCCAAAATTAGTACCGTGTCGCTTACACTTTGTCGTAAATGGTGGAATTATGAATCGAATATAAAGTTGAATTGTGATTCATATATTAAAGTTTGATTAACTTACTTCGAATTAATTATTTAAACGAAAATCCTTTTACTCGATAAGAAATCTTCAAATTTGTAATCCTCCGTCGGGAAAGCAATCTCACCATTTATCATTCGTAAAAGAATATTCTATCTTCGAAATATAAAAGATGAATATCGAAATAAAAATAAATATTGACATTTGCAAAAAATAAAAAATTAATAAAAACACATTGAATCATTCACATAAAAATATTTAATTAATAAAATAAAATAGATTTATTCAAGTCCTATTTCGTTCAAAAGTCGTATCGGATTGTACCACTTCGATCAAGTGATACTTTCCACACCTGTTGTACAAATACATGTTCTTGAAGATATTCAAATAATATTAATCGATAGATAACGAATAAACGCCGAAAGCAAATACAATTTGAAATCTACGAAATAAAAATTCACAATACACATATCTAATAACGTCTATTTAAAATAATACAATATAGTCGTAATATACAAATACATATACATGTAGGATTAGAACAAATTAACATATTACAAATCAAAATACAAATAATAAAACAATAAATAATCATATTCGATTTAAAGGACCAAAATAGCAAAATAGAAACTTAAAGGACTAAAATAGAAAAAATATAAATTTAAAGGACTAAAATAGAAAAAACAAAAAGTTAGAGGGCTAAACCACAATATAAATAAATCAGATTCCCAAGATCGAAAATATTAAATAGTACATATACTAGAAGTGAAAATAACCCATAAATAAATATAAAAGGACTGAAATGAAATAAACAGAAATATAAAAGACCAAACAATAATTAAACCAAATGCCAAACATTGACTAAAATAAAAATTTTTACAAATGTCATGGCCAAATTCGAACATCAATGAAAATATCATAACACACTAAATCAGGGACTAAAATGAAATAACTACAATATAGTGACCAATGTCAAATATTTACAGAATTACGTAACATATAATAACATGACTATAACATAAATACTGAAACATAAATGCTTAAAATAAAACAAGGTAAAATTTCATTAACTGACTAAAAAATGAAATTACAAATGTAAAAGGACCCAAAGTGGGATTTACCCACGCGCAAAAATGCCATACTGACCCCTCCTAAACAGCGTCGTTTCACTAATGGTATATAAGGCCAACACAGAGCCAAAAAACACCCAAGCCCCTCATTTGCTTCATTTGAAACGAGAGAATATAGAGAGATTTCTTAAAACTCTCTCAACTCTCTCATTGGAATAGAGAAAGGTCCTCGCTGCCGGTGGCGCTCACGACAGCCCACGGCGGCCGGAGAAAACATAAGCCCCCAAAATACTCCCCCCGCTTCCACAAACCCAAATCAAAGCTCCTTTTAGACTAAAAAATCACCTAACATCGCAGATCTTGTGTTTTACATTTCGAAGATTCAAAAATCGGTGACCCTTGGGCTCCTAAAGCTTCGAACCGAGGTGAATCTCTCCTCTCTTTGCTATTTGCCACCTTTTTGTTGTTTGGATTTCTCTTTTTTTTCGATTTTTTCTTTGTTTCGAATATATGTTTTTCTCTCTATTTTTTCACCGATTGCATCTGTCTTTCTCTTCTCTATCTTTTGCTTGCTTTATGGTCTCCTCCTGCTTTGTTTGGTGAGATGATGATATCTCTGGGGTAGGGTTATGAGACTTACTGACATGCTAAGTAATCCCCTTTTTTTGGGATTATGTTATTTTAAAATAGGGTTTTGATTTTGGTTGATTTATTGATGATTTGATTGTTTTTTCATCGTGGCCTTTGTTGATGACGCGACTGCTCGGGAGTGCTCAATATCGGCTCACGCGCGAGGAGATGGACGATGAAGCTCACGCGCCGGTGGGAGTGAGGAGTTTGGCGGCGACAACTGTTAAGCTGCTTGCTTTATGGTCTCCTCCTGCTTTGTTTGGTGAGATGATGATATCTGGGGGTAGGGTTATGAGACTTACTGACATGCTAAGTAATCCCCTTTTTTTGGGATTATATGTATTTTAAAATAGGGTTTTGATTTGGTTGATTTATTGATGATTTGATTGTTTTTTTCATCGTGTGGCCTTGTTGATGACGCCGACTGCTCGGAAGTGCTCAACGTCGCTCACGCGCGAGGAGATGGGCGATGAAGCTCACGCGGTGGGAGGTTGAAGAGTTTGGCGGCGACAACTATTAGCTTTAGGGTTGAAACCCTAATTTGAAAGGGTCAGGTCATCTATTGGGCTTGATATTGGGTCTGAACGGGTCGGGTCATCTGTAATTGAGTCTGGTGCCTGGGTAGTTGGTTGTAATTGGGGCTGGATCACTTGTGTAGTAGGTGGGCTTGAGCTTCATGCCTACAAAATGTTAATTTGTAAATTAAAATAATAATAATAATAATAATAATAATATTTTTTAGACCGTGACAAAAACGGGTGTCTATAATTATTATTCTTTCTTTTCTTCTTCGTTTTCTGTCCTGTTATTGAAGGATTTATGATGTTTGATTGCGGCTGCGGAAATTGCTGAAATAAGAACAAACTGGAATAGATTATGATTTGATCAGTCTATGGAAATTAAATTCATTCAATTAAGTCGATATTCATCTGTTTATCCTTCTCTTTACAATAGTATAATTTCTTTTGAAATGTAAATATGACTGCCTTATGGAAGAATTAATGATAATTTTCTTTCTATGTAAGAGAGAGCAATGGGGAGGAATTCCCTTGCTGATGGAAAAATGGATACCTATTTTTACATTCGTATTTGTTGATGTCTGATTGGTGATTGAATTTTAAGTTTGAAGCAATCGTTTTCTTCCCCTTTCTGATGACTTTTTTAGTTTAAAAGCCATTCTTTAAGTCTTTTGCTGAATCTACAAGTTGTAGAATATAATTGCCGATTGGTCCTCATCCACACTTTTATTTTGCAGTCTGTGGCATACTGGATAGATGTACTATGCAGATATCACGTACAGCTCTTCTGCAAGGAAGAGCTCTGGATGGGCTATTTCTGAAGGGGCCGCTCCTACAAGGTTTCTATGTCTTTGGCTTTTGTTTTGTGGGGACTTCTCTCTCTTCAGTTTGTGGCTTTGTCATGGTGATGGTCATAGGTAGTCATTCGTTTTCATCTTCTTCGACTTAACTGTCATCTTCTCCTAACCAAAGTTGTTATTGTTCTGATGTTCCGATTGTGTCTATCTCTTGATCAGCCTTGTATTAGATGTCTTGTTCATCTGGATTTTGTACGTCCACCTCTCCTCCGTACAGGTACAAACCCAATATTTTACAACGAAGTGAACTTATATTAGAGGGGAACAAACTTCTAAATTTTTTTTGGTGGGCGAAAATTGATTATCAATAGAAAATACATAAAAAGATCTAAAATATGAGAGAATTTGAAAATTTCAGGGGGCAACTGTCCCACACCCCTAGTAGTGCCCCCTTTGTCCACCCTTGGCTCTAGATATAACTCTTGTGAATCCATTGAGCCATTCTTTAATGTTTTTGGCTCATCGTTACGCTGCTATTAATCTTGGATTACTCTTTCCTTGATTGAAGGTGCAATCCGTCCTCGGTACATGTTATAATATTTGAAGCTTGTAGTTATTTTTTGGATCAGCAGCGTCATTTCCTATGCTATATTCCCCCCTTTTTGTAGTCTGATAATTATGGTAAAAATCTACCATGAGTAGTTGGGTGAAAGTCATCTGGAAGGAATGTTTTTGGCTCATCATTACACTGCTATTTATCTTAGATTACTCTTTGCTTGATTGAAGGTGCAATCCGTCCTCGGTACTTGTTATGCTATTTAAAGCTTGTAATTATTCTTTGGATCAGCAGGTCATTTAAAGCTTGTAATTATTCTTTGGATCAGCAGGGTCATTTCTTATGCTATATCTCCCCCCCCCGCCCTTTTTGCGTAGTAATAATATTGTAAAAAACTGCCATGAGTAGTTGGGTCTAGGTCATCTGGGAAAGTCATCTGGAAGGCCAGTGCTTTCATTGAGGTAAGCTATTAAAGTATCAGTTTGGTGAGAATGAAAGAGTGGACGTGAAAAAGTTGTAAATAGCTTTACATTTTAGCTAATTGCAATTAAACAGATAAATTCAAAAAATACAAGAACACAAAATATTGTAAGACTATGCACTAATAATAGAGCAGTATGTGAAATATCTAATCAATTTTTATAAAGAGTATAAAGCTGAAACTAGTTTAGTGCAGGATGTGAATTAACATGATATTTGAAAGGGCGAAGAATAAGGAGTGTTGGCATGGTTCCATATCTGTTGTTCCGTTGTCCCATGCTGTTCTTCCTCTTTATGCTAAATATTGTTATCATTTCTGGTTCTCCTCCTTTAGACCTCAATGCTTGTAAATTTAGTGGAACATCAGACCTTCAAGTCAATATATCTATGCTAGTTCTGTTTTTATTTGAGCATCTCTTTTATACATTTGTACTAATCTGTCTGTAGTGAGTTGTTGACTCCTTTTAAAGGTATGGAAAAATGTTTAATGTAGTTTTCATTTCAAATGACTTCTCTAGAAGAGGATAAATGTTTTAATCTATAACCTTCTGTTGAGTTTTCTTAATCTATCTCGAATCTGTTATACTTTTACTTAGGAACTGAAATACGGCATCTTTGTCAAGGAACTTCACTAATTATCAATATTTCATCTCTCTGATTCCTTAAATGTCTCATCATTTTGTTGCTAGATTGAATTTGGAAAAGATTGTTTTACCGACTATTTGGTATCTTTCATACCTCTAGCATTTATGTCTCCTAGAGTGTATCTGTTACTGATGTTTTCCTTGTAGTAGTACAGGCATTTACTGTTCAAGTATTTTGGAATTTTATCTGAGACTGAATTATTCTTTCTGTAAATTTAGAAAATGTGGCTTTCTTATTTATGTACGTTTGGATAAAATGTATAATGGATGGAAAGCATTTGCATGTTATTACTATCAATTATGTTATTTTATTAAATATAGGTGGGTCTGTAGTCCTTGGCTTATCAACATGGGTTGATGCTAGGATGGGACACTATGAACATTCTGATTCTCCTGGTCAATGTTTGGCGGGCGGATCTGGCTCTTTTTCTCTCATGATGTGTTTTTGTACAAATGTTGCTGAAATCACAGATCTTCATGATGATTCACCTGCAAATGATGAAGCTAGCAAAAATCATGTCTCTACTAATGAGGAACTTAACGCTGGAAACTTTGTTGCAGAAATAAAATCTGAAAATACCTCTCCAAAGTCCGATAGACTGTCTCACGCTGTGCCTCTTGGTCTTGACGAATTCAAGAGTCGAGCATTCATTTCTAAAAGTAGATCCGATACTGCTCAGGCAGGAGTAATACATAGGTAGGAGCCTGGGGGTAAAGAATACAACTATGCCTCCGCTTCAAAAGGAGCGAAGGTCCTGGCATATAACAAGGAAGCAAGGGTGCCTCAAATATCTTAGGCAGAGATGAGGACAAGTAACTACGAAATCCCTGTTCAGCAGAAGCTAAATTTGCTGTTATAGAACGTTCAGAAGAAACTTTAGTAGACACCAGGGTTTCAAAAAACGGTCCGCAACCGCGATTTAGAGGTTTTGCCGTTGTCCGAGTTACCTGCGACGGCCGCAATAGCGTCCGCGACGACCGCAATAGCGCCCGCGACTGCCGCAATCACGGTAAATCCGAAATAACTGAAAACGCGACCGCGACCGCGATTTGAAACCCTGGTAGACACAATAGAAATAACAAATTTATAACATTACTCCTCTAATTTGAAACAATTTGAGTTGTTTGGGAATTTGGTTTTTCCGACAGATGTTTGGACTACTCTGGGAAACTTTACTGCTGCCAATGTGAAGATTGCTCAGAGATTTGTTCTTCAGGAACCAAAGTGGGTTAGGTATATGAAGTTAAACCTTCTGAGCCATTATGGTTCTGAATTTTATTGTACGCTGAGTGTTATTGAAGTGTATGGAGTAGATGTAGTAGAGAGAATGCTGGAGGATTTGATCTTTGTTCAAGATAATCTCTTTGCACCTGAGGATGGAGTCCGTGATCAGAAACAAACACCTTCACAAGTGGAGTCCTCTCATCGTGATGATATTCACCAAAGTTCTCACAAGGAAATGGGATCTGAGCCTTCAGTGGTAAACTCAAATGTACAGTTGGATGCAACAAGTAATGTTGCTCCCAATCCAGTTGAAGAAATTCGTCTTCAACAAGTTTGCAGAGTACCTGGAGACTGTTCTAAAATTTTGATGCAGAAAGTTCGAGCTTTAGCCTTAAGTTTATCGGTTTTGGAGCCTTACTTAGAAGAATCCAATTCCAATTACAACAATATATTTAAAGAATTTGACCAAGAAATAGGAGAAAAAGATAAACTGCTAGATAAAATTAAAGAAAATATAAATGATCTCCTTGACAGCCAGAATATCGTTGTATGCGAAACTCTAAGTTGTTATAATAATAATTTTTTCTCTCTTCTTTTTTTTCCTTTTTGAATCAGGTATATTTTCACTGTAATCATTTTCTTTTTTCCCTTTTATCAGCCTAAAGATGTTGCTGACATTGCATCCTGGAAATCTCTGGTTTTTGTACAGCTGTGCTTTAGTCAGAGACAACGGTGATCAAGTCAGCTTATACATGATTAATTTGCTCAAATTTCTTTTTTAGTTTGTGTAAATGAGCTTGTGGCATGAATTTACTATTTAAAAATTATTCTAAAATGATAAGCGTACTGGTTATAACGTTTAGTAGTTCACCAATAAGGTGCACCTGGTTTACTTTGGAACTAAGTGTAGGATAACGTATAAGCATGCTTCTTTTTCCCTTGAATAACAAACAATTAAGCTAGTATAGTTTAGATTTTCAAAAGGGACAGAAATAGTTTGACCCTTTGTTTTCCTTTGAAGTGAGAATCTAGGGGGAATCACATTAGTATAGTTTAGATTTGACAAAAATAGTTGGTCCCTTTGTTTTTCTTTGAAATTGATACAATTCTAGATATGGATAATTTTACATTGGAGGAGCTTCTTGATGAGGATGAAATTATTCAGGAATGCAAATCCCTCAATGGACGACTTATATAAACTTGTTGTTTAGTAGGTGCACCCTCCTTGTCTGCAATAGGCAAAGACAAACCTCATGTGTTGGCCAATATCCGGTTCCTCATTGCCTAATGGTGACGAGCTTCATGCTAGGAAGGGTTGGGTTGGAACCCTAAAGTTGGATGACCCATGTGAGTTCAAGCCAGAACGTAACCTCCATGTTTGTAAGGAAGCGAACAAGTGATACTTGTAGATCCAAAGTTGTGGGTCTTGTCGTTCAGTAGAGGAAAGAAAGGGATGATACACATGCTTATTTACCAAAAGCTTATTTGTCAAAGTCAACATGTTCAAGTTAACGGACTTCTGATATTTTATACTATGAGTATTAGATATCCTTCTGCCAGAATTACAAGGTTTGAAAACACTGATGATAGCATTTCATTAGTTTTTTGCAAGACCAGAAATATTAATAACCAAGAGAGAGAATAAGTGCGAGAGAATAAGTGCGAGAGAGAGAGAATTTGAAAGGTCCTTTTTTCTCCGGTGAGGAATGGACAACTTTCGTAGACAATCTAAGCAAGAGGGTATCAAGACGAGCATTAAGATAACTTTTCAATCACCATGGTCTAGTTGTGAGGGTCTTCATCCCGAGTGCAACGAACAAACCAAAATACAAAACCTCCACGTTCGCCTTTGTCCAGTTTTCCAACGAGGTCGGTCGAAGAAAAACAATCTAGAATGTTAATGGAACTTGGATTGATGGGAAGAGAGACTCAGTGGCGGTTGTAAAATATCAGAACTCTCGGAAAAGATCAGCTGATATAGGAAAGACCCAGATGGAAGCTAACAAGTCAAAAAAAGATGGAAAAAGAAGGTTCGAGGAGGATGTTAAGTCTCGAATAAGCCTGAGGGATGATAGAACGTATAAAGAAGTACTAACCTTAGATAGAAGACTGTGAAGTGAACGAAAAACAAGGGAGAACAGGGAAGGTATTATGCAAGCTGCAAAAGGGTTGAGGAACGTCTAGGAGATGCATATCCCTACGGAGGAATCGAGTTGGACGAAATGTTCCTTAATAGGGGTTATCAAATCTTATTTCGAGATGGACTTGGTGTAGAAGGCTCTGGCCAACGAGGGATTTGAAGTAAGAATCGCTAGTTGGAGATATGTATGGAATTCTTCCATCATTACGTTCAAGTCAGTGGAAGAGCTATCA